TCAACAGATCAAACAAAGATCAATGAGCGAAGATTCTACACTAGCACAAATCAATTCAACTAATCAACTCAGGCCTACCTCAGTCAGTGAGAATTCAAAATAGTATGATTGAAGGAATGGAACAGTTTCTGAAAAATTATAGCAGAAATGATGATTAGCGTTTATCATTTGATTAGGCATACCTCAGTGAGAACTCAAAATAGCGTTCGTTGGCTGCTTTAGCTTTCAGTAAATCAGTAAAACAACTTGCATTCTTTCACGAGTGAGGGAAGCGATTTTCTAAACACATTCTTGAGCACTGCCACACGACTCTTGACTAATTAAAACCTATAATTACGGGCGCAAAAGTGAAGAACCGGAAGATTCAGAAGAAAAAAGTAGAAGTAGAAGCCGAGTCCAGTATAACGTGAACACGACGGATCCTGGAGTTACGCGCACCAGGTAGAATTGAAATCAACAAGAGATATCTTCCTTTATAGTTCAATAATGATATAAAGCAATATTTACCGATACTAGATTCACCAATCCATCTGATCTAATTGGTGATCTTGACACTGACCAATCACACCAACTTTCATTTCCTAATTTAATTGGAAGAGTTGTTAAATACGCAAATCTAAAAGCCACTACTTATTGGTAATAATATTGGTAATAACAGAGAGGCATAAACTCGTAATGAGTTTGATTTGCTGATTAAATAAATAAATAAATAAATAAATAAATAAATAGGCCCCCTACAGAATATAGTATTTCAGTTTCATCAATTTAGAACACGAATTCAATAGATTTTCGTGAGAATATCAAAAAAAGAATTTTACGCAGAAATGGCTTTTCTCACGTTTACCTGGAGAAACTGATTGGAATGAACCTCGAAACTGGGGGAAATTAGAGGATTCTACTACGACCTACTAACGATTTCAGGAATCGAGAATAACAATGGAGACATAATTACAATATGTTCTTTCGCCGTCTTGCCTCACCGATGAGCATCAGATCCATTCATATTTGTCGTATTCATAAATAGTTTTCCAAAAATGTAAATTTATCACAGCTACGAATACTGATCGTGAGTCATAAGTTTCCTTTTCCAGGCGTCTAAAACAAATTCCAATTCACAAACTCAAATCTCCATCCAAAACGAGCATCAATGGCACCATACGATGAAATAATTTTTTCCAAATTTTAATTTACTCTTCATTGGTTTATTGATCAATTTAATTCTAGAGTTTTACGATAATAAATACTATGTAATATTTATTCAATTTCTTGCAAATACGATAATACAATATTTCGTCCACCTTCTAACTATTGTAATGTTGGCAACAGCCATATTGCCGTTCTTTTTTTCGATTGACTTTTGAACAGATAAATAAATTTGGTGAGAAACTTGATAGTGCTAATAAGATATGAATGTGCATCAAGCCACTCAAAATTCTGATCACATTTAATAATAACCATAAAAGTACTCGATTGTAGGCCGGGTCAGGCACAGTTTCAGGCCCGGAGGTCTGCGCAACTCTGCCCGACTTTCAGATAATGACTTGAACAGATTGATCGAACATCACGTCAGCAAAACATATACGTCGCAAAGTTGTGGGGCGGCCTAAGTTTCGTATTATAAACATAACTGATACACTGAGAATATGCATTTGCTTGAAGTAAAAACTTCAAGTGTTAGGTCAGGATAAGTAATCGAGTTACGGACTTTGACACATCCAAATAAGATACATACTGCTAATAAGATACTGACAAGATACATAGCTATGTTCATAACGAAAATGAAAACAGGGACGAAATTAAAATGACTTCATGCGAACGATAAGAGCCAATTAGGAAGTGAGTGGCACGTTGAAGAGCTTAATGCTTGAGTAAGACGTGAACGAAGCGACTTCCTGCCAGCGAATATGATCGCTATGTTCGTTCA